ATACCGATGCATCGGATTGCGGCCTGAAATGCTCGACCATTCCTGCATGCCGTACCTGGCTCTTCACCAGCGGTGGCCAGTGTGAACTTTTCCGACACTCTCCCGTGGCTACAGCAGCCAACCCAAATTTTTCCTACGGTGTCTGCAGGCAGGGGAATGACTCTTCTCTTGATACTTGGCTTTCACACGCGGCCTCATCTTCTCATCCTATACAGTCTCCAACAATATCCTTATCTGCTGCTCGCATAGTAAGTAACCTCATGTCAGCAAATTAGTGCCGCAAGCATTTCTCCTTTCGACGGCTCCTCGCTACTGTACAAGATTTTACATGCATTCGGCGAAGCTAACTGAAAGCCTCCCGTTTTCTCAGACCCCAAGTAACCCCGCTATCAAGCGACACCTGGACTCTCATAGACACGGTAGCCACCATAAGCATCGCGGGAACTAGTGGTGGCGGGAGTCGTCTTATTGGTACCTTGGAAGGATGGAGATGAGCGGCGGGCATCCCCAGAGACCCTTGCTTTCATTTGAGTAATTACCTGTCTTGTCTCTCTCTCAATCTGCTTGATCTATTCCGTATTCCAGCTATTCATGAAAATTGAAATTGGCATTTGTCTGTGTTCATTTTTAAGCATCTTTTGAAGAATTCGGAGATAACAATAATCGATTTTACGTATAATGGCACTCCCAATGTTACCTCCTTTGTGGAATCCCGCATGGAAAGGAGCTTAGCAAGTTAGTACCAACCAGTAGTCCAATCTAGCGCCTGCCCATAATCATATGCTATGGGTCCGCCGTCTGCGCACCTCCGGCCGAAACGAGACTTCCGTCATAACACCGAGACATCATCCCAGCGGCGCACTACTAAAATACCTGGTCATTCCGTCGGTCTCTTCCGCCGCCAGTTTAACTATTGAAAAGCTAGCCTACGGCGCTTTTCCTTTGTTTATCCATCATCTGTACCCAGCATCAGGCTCGGTTGAGGACAAACATAGATAGCGAAATGGATCCCCCCTTGCACTTTGATAACAGTGGATCGGGTCCACTTCGTGTTCCGGGCTTCAACGGGATCCCCCTGGAGTATGAGTTCGAGATCGGCCAGCGCTTCACACACGGAGCACGAGAGAATACGAAAAGGAAACCTCTCAGGCTGACCGCACCCGAAGTCAATATGTTGCGACTCATGGAGCGCATTACTGATATTCAAAACTGGGACCAGGGGGTCTTCGATGAAGATACTCTCTCCGCATGGCATGCACAGGCAATCTCCTGCGCAAATTTTAACTCTGACATGGATCTGGATGTCGACATGGACCTGGTGACTACGAGAGCATGGCTCTGGTGTGTTGCGGAGCTACAAGATAAGGCCAGAGCATTTCGTGACACTGGTCACGTTCTTGTCCTCAATTCCGACTCTGGCGTTTGTAAAGCCGATCGAGATGTGACAGGGACCCTGGTGCATCAACTCCAGGATGCACTTAGTCAAATTCCCAAGTGTAGCACGCATGATTTGGTGGACCCGTCACTCCACATGCTTATCTACGGTCGGACGACTGTTCTCAGTCATGGTGGTCGGGTTTCTCTTGGAGAGATTTCTAACCTGTATCCTCCCTCCGACCGGGGACAGACGGCACCAGTGCCAGATCATCCCCTGACTAAGCTTGGACCTTTTCCCCAAGTGTTCAGTCATCCCAGCGTTAAATCCAAATGCCGACAATACTCCTCCTGCTATCAATGGCTACCTTGCGACGTTGAATTCGCCGAGTCTTCGGGAACGGCGGTACGGATAGTATCGTACATCAATAACCTCCACCCGGTACATTCTGAAGCATATGCTTCCCTTGAAAAGCTTATCTCTTTGTCTATAGCGCCTTGGAATGACGTTTTGGTAAAAGGGTTTCGAGGTCGCACGCCCCGGCGGATCTATACGTACGGTGTCTCGAATAGTGAAGTACCCCCATGGGCAGAATACCCACCGAAGGACCTACTGCCAGTTGTGTGGAATCAAGAAATCACTCGACGCGCCTGGTCGCCAGAAGAATGGGAAGGCCATTGTGACAAAGTGAAAGACTATCTTCGGTTACCAGACGTGGATCCGAAATATCGCGTGTTCCCACCAGAGCCCGATGATCCACCCCAGACCCAAGACCTTCTGAGTCTCATGACACCAGAAATGTGGGCATCTCCCCATAGTGTTGAGAGGATAGTACAGGCGAAGTGGAGACGACTTCATCGGTTCTCATACCCCGAGCCAGGTGTCTCCTATACGTATGAAGACTGGAAAGCGGGGAAGACTGCAAATCCAATCTTCGGCCCATGGGAGTGTGAAAGTAAGTATGACGTGCTTCATAATCATGATTACTACTTGGTGTCACTGGAGGAGCAATTTCGGCAGCAGGGCCTACAGGTAATTGTTCGGATATTCAGTATCGACCTGACGGCGAATGAGCCTCATTATCCCGGGGATCAAGAATTCCATGTGGATGGCATGCTCAACGAGCATATTGTTGCCACTGCCCACTTCTGCTATAGCTCGGAGAATATCACCGAATCCCGCATTTCGTACCAACAGAATGATAACTTGAGATTGCATGGTCACCAACCGGATCCCTTGTGCATCTACAAACTTTACGGTATGCCTCCTTGCCCGGCAGTTGGCGAGGAGCCAAAGGCTCTGAACCTTCAAACACTGGGCTCGGTCGCAGTCACTAGCGGTCGACTTCTCGCTTGGTCTAATACCTTGCGTTATAAAAAGCATCCTTTCTCCTTGCGTGATCCAAGTCGCCCAGGACATCAACGGTGCGTCGTCTTGTGGTTAGTTGATCCCCATTATCGGATCTGCTCGACTCGAAACGTACCTCCTCAGCAGCATGACTGGTGGCGCAATGCCATACTAGCGAAATCGACCTTGTTATCGACCCTTCCCAAAGAATTGGTGGATATGGTAATGAACGAGACGGGGTATTACCCAATGCATATTTCCGAAGCCTTGGAGCACAAGAAAAGGTCGGACGAAGAGAGGGAGGAGGCTCATCGGGCCCAGATGTCGGGGTTCAAGAATTATCGGCTCTGGTATGATTTAGAATACTGCTGAGCGGCTGTGTAGGGGTATACTTGATGTTCGATAGTTCACTTATGCTTGAGGCAGGTTGATCGTAGATTATGAGCATTCGCTTTCCTTCATGGGATTGAAAGTGGCATACTGTCTACCGGGCACGGAAAAACGTGTACGTTTAATATGGATTGACTAGTGGCATAGTAGTTCAGACTTTAGATCAGTGCAAATATCAAGCCCGCTTTTCCCTGATGATGAACTGTGAGCATACTAGTGCTATTAGACGAACAAATTCCGAACTCCGGAATGGACTTATATATAATCCTACGGTATGTGTTTCGCTCGCTCAGAGTCACGCTTTTTATGTAGCGCCCATTTGGTTTTATAAGTGGTAACTGAAGCGACACTAAGTATTTCAATATCTGCAATTATTGAAACAGCTGAACATACCAGCAAGTATTACGCAACTGTAAATGATATATTTATAAAGCACTGCGGGCATGATCAATAAGATTGATAATCAAGTTGTCTGTATACCATTCGAAAGATCGTTGGTTGCAGATCAGGTCCCAGGGCCAATAGTAGCAACTGAGTTGACATATAAATGATACCTACTACTAATAGGGTCACTTTTACTTTGCATTGGTACTGGTTATCCCTGCTTGCCATCTACACGGCCCGTAGCTCGATAGCGACCGCTGCTATATTTATCAAGGCCGCCCTTTGGCTCCGCGTAGAACTCCATGCACTCTATAACTTGGCTGATAGAGAAGGGAGCACAGATCCTTTCTACCAGCCTCGATATGGCATGGTCAATGCGCTTAATCGGCTTTCTCTGATTCCGCGGTCGCTATATTAGCCGGCGTTAATGGTAGCCGCTGCCGTGCCTGTACCTGTTGCCTGAGTCATACCTTTCTGTGATAACTAGAAAGCGATCAGCCTACCAGTAAGTCATTACCTAATTTCCGCTTCCTGCCTTTAATATAGAAGAATTACAGCTCTAACCGTGAGCAGCAAATCTAAAGAGTCCATGAAGTAATACGTGGAGTCCCATAAGCCGCCGACCAATTTTCCGGTTCCGTCCCGCGGACATTCAAGCTTTTCTCGGCATTCGGGGAGATAGAGCCCCGGCCTCGACTCGTTACAGATGATTTCTCACATAGCACTGTGGGATAGAGTAACGGGAAAGTAGCAAAACAATAGATGTGGCCTTAACTGTCGTGATACGAACAGCATGTTGCAAGTGTTTGGGGCCATTTACTTCACAAGGCATCATTGCGGCAAAACGTCAGGCCATGTGTCAGGTATGCGCCTGTGTTTTCACCGCATCAGCCGCATTTCAACATGCAATGTTATTGTTATGTGTCATAGTGATATTCTAGACGGGGGCTATTATGCCTACCACACCAGGTGAGAGCCTCGTGTGGGTTCGGGTTCCATCAAAATTAATTTTTTAGTACTTGATCTTCATTGACTCATCGGTTGCAGAGTGGGGGGATTCCCGCTCGAAACCCGATCAAGAAGAATCAGGGTTGCTTTGCTTTGCTCTTTTTTATCCCCGTTGCCAAGGGCCGTGGTTGGCCCACTGCGAACAGACGCTACTCAGACCATACTCTTTTTTTCTATAGAGTATCTTGTACGATGTACGATTAACGGAGTACGTCCTCCGATCAGGCATCGAGTCTGGCGAATAGGGGGTTTAATATGCCCCACCACGCTGCCAGTCATGCTGTGACAATGGCTGTGAAGTTAGCTCTTAGGGCTGCAAACAAACGGGGGCGGCTTGCTTTTCCCGTGGTCCACGTTCCGATAGAAGCTTCTACTAAGGGCTCGCGGAGGGCGTAAGCACCGACTCGCCGTGTCGTCGCAATCACCAGTTTCTTAAGTCCGAATCTTAGTCTCGAAAAGTCCGAAAGTTCTGCATGGTATTTATCTCCTTGGGTAGCTGCTACCCTTCGCTGAAGATGGTTTTCTTCACAGTATCGAATTCAAGCTTCATACACCATGGAGAGCGCAAAGCATAGTGAATCGACGTTACAGGCGCAATCTGTCGCCATAGACGACAAGAGCCTACGAGAAGATGTACACACCCCACCGGCAGAAGCGCCAGTTCCAAAACCCGATCAAAAGCCCGACGAGCCTAAGTGGCTCACAGGCCTCCCTCTTCTGATGGTCATGACGGCAGTCACACTGGTAGTATTTTTGATGTTACTGGACGTGTCGATTGTGTCTACGGTAAGTCCACCGCTGAAAGTAATCAATGCGATTATTGTGGTACGCCAGTATTGACTCTTCAGGCCATTCCTCACATCACGAATCAATTTCATTCCCTCGATGATGTCGCCTGGTACGGTAGCGCATACACCATCGCAAGCGCATCGCTACAGCCTCTTACCGGAAAGTTCTACGGCAACTTCGTTCAAAAATGGACCTTCCTCGGCTTCTTCTTTGTGTTCGAACTCGGCTCTCTAATCTGCGGTGTCGCTACCTCATCCAAGATGCTCATTGTCGGACGAGCCGTGGCAGGCATGGGGTCTTCGGGCATGGTCAACGGCGCGCTTAATATCCTGGCCAGTATATTGCCCATGCATCGAAGGCCAATGTTCATGGGAATTATGATGGGATGTGAGTACACAATTTTGAGCTACAAGGTATGAAGGCTGACACTGGGGTAGTTTCTCAACTGGGACTAGTATGTGGTCCGCTCATCGGCGGTGCATTCACCTCGTATTCGACATGGCGTTGGTGTAAGTGATACTCCTCGGCCGTTTCTGGCGATATTTCTAACTATATCAGGCTTCTATATTAATCTTCCAATTGGTGCCCTGGTCGGAATCCTTCTCATCTTCACCAACATCCCAGAACAACATGCCAAACCGAGAGCTGCGGAAGTCTTCCGATCGGTGCTTCTCAAGAAGTTCGATCTCTTTGGTTTTGTGCTGTTCGCGCCCGCCGCTATCGAGCTCCTTTTGGCTCTGCAATGGGGCGGAAGCCGATACCCATGGAAAAGTTCGACCATCATCGGCCTCTTCTGCGGATCCGCTGCGACCTTCATCGTCTTCGGTCTTTGGGAACGGCGCATGGGCAATGATGCCATGATTCCGGGACAGTTGGTGAAGCAGCGCATTGTTTGGAGCAGTTGCATGACCATGTCAATGATGTTCGGAATGACTATGGTCATGGCGTACTACCTGCCTATTTACTTCCAGTCCGTGCGAGGCGAATCCGCCCTCATGAGTGGTGTGGACTTGCTACCCAATATTTTATGCCAGCTGGTCATGGCAGTGCTTTCCGGTGTTCTTAGTAAGTGACCTGCATCTGCACCCCTGATGAACCAATTCACTAACATCCCTCCAGCCGGCAGACTAGGATACTACCTCCCCTGGGCCATCTTCGGCTCCATCATGACTTCTATCGGCACTGGCCTCCTCTCAATGCTTTCCCCCACCACCTCCACAAGAGACTGGGCCGGATTCCAAGCCATAGTTGGTCTCGGACGTGGCGCTGCCACTCAAGTAGTACGTTTATCCCCGCACATACATCCCCCATCGCCACTAGAACCACCAAACTAATAGTTAATTCAAGCCGATGGTCGCCATCCAAAACGCCGTAACTCCCGCCCAAATATCCCCCGCAATGGCCATCCTCACATTCAGTCAAACCTTCGGCGGGTCCATTTTCCTTGCCGTCGCCGAGGTCCTGCTCACCGCCGGCCTGAGGAAGAAAATCCCCGAGTACGCACCGAACGTCAACCCCGAGACTGTCATCGCAGCGGGCGCTACTGGATTCCGTGACGTCGTTCCAGCCAAAGATCTTCTTTCGGTGCTGGTTGCGTATTCGAAGGCGATTGACGAGGTTTTCTATCTCTGTGCCGCGCTTTGTGTGGTTCAGTTCTGTTTTGTGTGGGGGATGGGGTGGAAGAATGTTAAGAAGGGTAAGCCGGAGCAGGAGAAGAAGAAGTCGGGTGAGGAGAGTAAGGAGGTGGTTTAATGGGGCCTTATGTTTTCATGAATTGGGATGCATTGCATGGTTTTGTGGTGTTGTGTTAAAGATTATAGAGCTACGGTTAGCGACTGGTTCGTGTTAATGATAATTATCTCATCTCATGCTCATCATATGTTTCTTGGTTTACGAAGAGACATGAACCTTTAAATCATATGAGGGTTCATGCTAGAGAAACGTGTGGCTCCGAGTTTCATGGTATTGAAAACTTCAACACGATTCCGATACTACTACATGGTTAAAACAGCAAATATGACACACACACACAAACACACACACAGAGATAGAGAGAGAAAGAGAGAAAACATGTAGGCTATCAAAACAATCGGCAACATTGCTATGAAAGATTACAGCACAAACAAAGGTAGGAGCGACAACAGTAAGATGAGGAAGATGCAGTAGTTTCCAGAAATAAGAACCGCAAAGAATGCCTAATTGTCTCCAGCACTCAATGTCTACTAAAGCCACGAGAAAAGGTATTCACTGCATTTTGAAACTTGTGCTGGACGACTGATGCAAATTAATACAAACTGCTTAGTAGGTTTGAGCAATGGCCGTGATTGCTAGAATGATCGGACCTAGATTGTCCATTGCATCAGGACCTAGGGTATCCCAAGGACCGTACTGGTGCATCACTAGAAATGGGTCGTTGTGAGTCTGCCCAGTCTGGAGATAATCAATGTAATCATTCCCATACTCCGCCACAGATATGTAGATCTCGTGCCTATCCTGCGATATGATGAGGCGGTGACTAACATGTTTAAAGTCAGCGTGGGTCATGCTAATTATCCACGACATCATGATGATATATCCACTTACGGCTTGTTCCGGCGCTGCACGTGGGGAGATGTGTAGTCTGCCAATAAGCTCGCAACGATCTGGTGACTTTCCTGTATACGAATCTGTGTTTCCTTGTTATTCCTGATAACTGGCTTTACCTCAACGATGGCCTTGATATCTCCCCTGCTATCTGCGAGATAGCCGTCTGTTCTGGCTTGGAACTCCATGTTTGTAAATGTTGCTCTAAAGGCCATGCGATGTATGGACCAGCCAACGGAGAGATCAAAGTGCAACGTGAGAGAATCAAGGAACGTCAGGAGAGCAGTATTGACGATCTGTTCATCCTTTGTTGGGGGATATAAGATTTCATCTTCCGGACGGATAGGGCTCCATGGAGTGCGGACCAGTGGTGAGGAGATGGCTGACATTGAATCGGAATCGTCGTCAAGGAGGGGAGTATCGAAGTTAGGGTCTGGATTTGTAGGGGGCGACTTCGTCAAGTCTGGTTGGGTTGGTGGCTGACCCGTTTGCTGCTTTGAGCGTGTCCTATGGGCTACGGGTGTGAATTGAACACCACTGCCACTCGTGCTGTCCTGATCGGTTCTTGTTACTTGCAATTGGTAATGGCGGGCCAATGCAAAGGTTCCTTGCTGATTTGGACCGGTGAAGCTGTTTTTGTAGTTGGTCCACGACCCGAGACTTTTTAACCTGGCGCGGGCATCTGATAGGGTTTGGTTCAGATTGACGCGCCTCAGGAATTTGGATGAATCATAGCTCTTCCAGAGGACTCGGAGAAGGAGGAATTGTTCGAATTCTGCGCGCGACGCCGACTTGAGCGGGGCATCATGGATAGTGAGGTTGTCGAGATTTAGGTTTTTGACCTCCTTCAACCACTCTTCGGGAGACTGAGGAATGACCTTTCTTGCATCGACCATGGTGAGGGAATAGAAAAAAAGTAGGTAGCACGCAGTACGCAGGAACAAACGAGGAGGCTTGGTAGTAGGAAATCTGTTTATTTGTCCTCCCGGAAGGGGGAAGATGGCTACTGAGCCTTTTATGCTTACCGAGAGCAGCTCTGTTTTCCTCTAGCATAAAATGTGCCCAGCCAATGAGTAGCATGTGCGTGCTACATGCCAACAATGTCATACTTTTAGCGCATAGGAGCGGTATATGATAGGCACATCTTGTCGATCCAACCCGAAGGATCACATATATTTTTAATGTGTGACACACTCTTTCTTAGGGAACGACTATTCATAGCACATCATCTCCTTACGAGTGGCAGCGAGTGCTCCGTGGGATAAATTTTGACGCTCGAGGGGTCACGTAGACACCCATCCAGCCCACAACAGGCGCCGTTGTTGAGCGCTTATCGGGCCAATGGACCATAGATCCAGGAATAGTACCGCTGGCAGAGGCTAACTATAGCAATATCCGCGTCCATTCACAGACCATAACGTCCATTAGCGAGATAGTTATTTGAGCGCGAAAGATCGTTGATCTATAATAGGGTTGAGTATCTTGTTTCATGTTGCTGCACTGGAACGCGCTGGGTTGGCAGTTAAAAAGTTAAAACGTTCCTGATTGGTCACGGGCTAGTCACGGGAGCATCCCGAGTTGTGATCGGCGGCTGCAACGGCGCGAAGGGGAAGACCTTACTTTCCCCACCGCTCGAGTCGCGAAGGAAACTATAAAGTGGTCTCTTCTTGATGTTAGCCAAATACCCCCCTTCTGTTGTAGTGGAATAAATCTATTCTCTTCTTACTGCGTTGCCTTGCCATCATTCAATACCATGACCATGAACCGCGCCACCGAGCCAAGAGACCGTTACAATTTCCGCAAGGCCCTTGCACTCATAGAAAGGGATATCAAACTGCTCAAAGACACAGACACCCATGTCCTTGATCAGAGTCTAATGAAGCGGTACAAAATCCGAGCCTTGCCGCTGAGCCTCAATGCTCAAGACGCTCGCGCGCCCAAGTTTTTCACCCCTTTCGTACCAGAAAGCATACCGGAGCCTACGGCAGAGTATGTCGACCACGAGTACAACACTTCTTCTACGCTGTCACCAAGTGAATGGGGATGGTCCATCTATCTTTATCTTGACGCGTAAATCCACAAGCTGCTGGTCAAATTCCCCGAGGTTTGGCGGACGTGGTCCTGCAAGCAGTAAGTTCTCAATAGTTCAACTCTGGGTCTGCCGGCTCATTAATCCGCCAGGGTTGGAGATTATGATTTCGGAGACCTCTATCGAACTTTTGATCCTAAATTCGGATCGCTGGCAATCTGGCACGTATTAGGATCCTCGAGGCCGCATATTAAGTGCATCATGCACAACAACCTCGACTCTGATGACAGCTACCTTCTCCGTGGGGAGGTGTTGACCGTTATCCGCATTATGCTTGGTCAATTAAAGCAGAAGATTTTTGTAAATGATATGATTGCACCGGTAACACCATCCCTTCAAGTGCGTCTTTGACTGACGATAAGGACTAATCATGATCCCAGGTTCTATTGTTCTCGTTGAACCGACGGCATCCACGCGTCATTGAAGCATACTTTGATGGACAGGAGTTGGTAATACGCCGCACCGAACCCTATGATTTTCAGTTCTTGAATACAGTCGGGTTCAAGACATTTGCGCAATGGTTTCTTGGTAATCCCATTGGTGATACATCGAAACGGGCAGTCCGGACTTAATGAGCTGATCGGGAGATTAAGGATGTCTGGGTTATGATGTTTTCAGGGTTTGGTAATGTCTATGCAAATAAATTAGTTTTTTGATAGTCACTGTGCTCATTGTCCTTCTTATTATGATCTGTAAGTCCAGTCTAGCAACCTGCTTTCCACTTCTCTCAATAGATTCCTGTCAGCTGGCAATATTTTACTTTACCTGATTGTACATTAATCAATGCCCGCTGATCCAGGTAAGTAGAAGCAGTATGGCCTACTATAGAATAACGTCAGATTCGCCCTGCCTCAACACCTCAGTCGAAGCTTTCAGTTAGTGGAGCATGTAGTGTAATCATTGAAAACAAATGCCTGAAGCCCCACCCCCTAATCGACTTCAATCACCACCTTTCCCAAATGCTGACCCGACCCTAAATACATATACGCCTCTTTCAGATCATCCACACTAATGACCCTCTCATCAATAACTAGCTCCAAACCACTAGCCTCAATCGCCGCATTCATCTCCTCCTGCAACTGCCTCCTTCCCACCAAAATCCTCCTAATAGTCGCTATACTTGTACCATGCGACCCTTCACTCCAATAGACAGGTTCTTATAGACAGACAGTGAACAGGTTAATGATCCTAGTCGTAAGGCTGGCAGCAGGCTTTGAGAGAGTGGTTAGAAATCAAGACTCAGATGGAACAACGATTGGGTGTAGTATATCTCATTTCAATCGGTAGACTACATGTATCTTGGCCGGCCTCAACCGGTGGGTCGGACTCGGTATGGTCGGGCATCGGTAAACGGCGCCGAAGGTCGAGGGCTATATTGTGCAGTGTGTTGCAGTGAGGTATTGCGCCACTTTGAGTGAAGGGTGATGGTGTTATGATAAGAATCTAGAACCAAGTACAGTGCAGCCACTTCTAACTGGACAAGCTTTACCAAGCTGTATGCCCACCATCGACAACCACAGTACTGCCAGTCATGAAGCTCGAAGCATCGCTCATAAGCAACAAAGTAATGCCCCTAAACTCCTCCGGTCTCGCTAACCTCTTCATCATATTCTCAGACGTCCACAGATCCCTAGTATCCGGATCTTTCTCCATAACCATCTTTGCCATTGGCGTCTCAATATGCCCAGGACAAAGACAGTTCACACGAATCCCGCCCGTGCCATCTTCCTTAACCTCAGACCACTCCATCGCTAGACTCCGTGCCAGCTGAATTACTGCAGCCTTAGACGAGTTGTAGATGGCAGACTCCATGCCCTTGTTGGCAATCATACCGCTCATACTTGCTACAAGGAGAATAGAGCCGTGGCACTTCACGTCCAACATTGCTTTCGCGGCTGAAACAGCGCTGCGAAAGACACCAGTGTAGTTGATGTGGATCACGTCATCAACGTTCTTAGGTGTGTGATCGATCGCACTCGCAACACAGTTTATGCCCGCAGCTGCAACAAGACCGTCTAGCCGGTTGTTTTGTTCTGCGATGTCGGCCATCACGGCTTCAGTGTTTGCGTCGTCGGTCACGTCCATGCGCTTATAGTGTAAAGAGCCCCCAAAGTCTGGGTTTGCGCGCGCCTCTGCGGCGTGAAATTCTTCGTCTGGCTTGGGAAGCCTGTCAAGACAGTATACTGTGGATTGTTGATGTGAGTTATGGTGGCTCAATACATAAGAGTGAAGCGAACATCTCACCTCGTCCGCCGGCTTCGACCAATGCCTCGGCCATCGACAACCCCAACCCCCTTGCACCACCCGTCACTGCAAATACTTTTCCTGCAAGAGAGAACTCTCGGAATCGCTCCTGGGCTTTCTCACTTCTAGGCAGCCTTTCCTTCACGTGCGCGTGTTCAGCCATAGACCGTGTGAATATCGATGTTGCGCCGCAACCCAAGGGTCTCCATCTCTCATGTTTCAGGTTGGAGACGCCAAAGGCCAAAGAGTGAGGACGAGCGCGCAATAGCACTGCCCTGGAATGTCGTGATAACATCTTGGTTCTACTAAATCTAACACAACAAGCCCCCCTCTCTTGATTTGATCTATTAGGTCTTCGCGCCCGGCAATGGAGAATATATATCTTCTCGCTCCGCTGATAATGACAAGTGCATAACTGAAATCTTCATTGTAACGGAGAGGAATTAGCCCATCTGAGTTGGGAAGTTGGGAAGTTTTGAAGCTCATGTGCCAAGGTTGTACATATGTCAAGCTTCCGTCATCATCGACGCAAGGGCTGGGCAGCTGACCTGCCAAGGTATAGGTAGGCAACATGATTTAGGCGCTACAAGCTTACAGAAAAGACTGATAAGTTATTCAGTTCAGCACGGTAAATAGAACACGCAGTGCGCATCGTCCGTGTTCTGAGGTATTAGAGACACGTGCACTAAACCGCAGGTAGCTGTAAGCCCTCGGCTATGATATTCTACTGGTTCCGTGGATACATCATGTGTTCACATAGTAAATACGGTAAACATGCTATCGATTTTACTTTTTTCGATGTGAAAGCTTTCCCCCTTGAGGATCATCTCTCCGTGGTTTTATTAAACTATGGCGTGAATAAGCTGCTAATGCGATAACACCCAACAGTGATCCCTCTCAGAGCATACCACTGAAACGGTAATTTTGCCTTTTGATTTTGCTTTCTATAACATACATTTGCTTTTATCACTTGCTCCCTTTGGGTCATCTGGTAGTGTTCTTCCAGGGATGAACGCCGCATTACATCATTGTATAGCTGCCAAGGGGGGGCAGTAAACCTTAAGTTCAGGTTCCTGGTTGGTAACACCAATGCGTCATACCGCCTGCACTGGGAGCCAGCCATACAACAGGTACATCCGCTGAGAACCAATATAACAGCGTAATCGAGCCAATAAGTAGCGAGCAATATAGCCTAGGGTATAGGATCGGATTCGCCAGTGTAGACTCACTGAGACCATAAAAGCGTAATCCTTTCTGGGCAAATACACCTGCTGGGCTATTGCTTTTCTCGCACAATTGACTCTGCCTGAAATTTGTAAAATGGGTGGTTGGAGTTGATATACATTCTATTATAGAATAAATATTATGAAACTATAGCTTCATCCCTTGTTGAGGCATATTTTATACAGCGCCATCTTCCTCAGTCGATGCTACACCCTCCTTTGTTGTCTCCCTCCCACTCTGCTCCACGCTTCTTAATTCCAGAGGTAAGGAAGAGACGAAAGCAAAGAGAGCCAACGCCAAGGCCACCCAAAAGACATCTCTTAGACCGGTCATATACGCGTCCAACACCACTTCCAGCTCATCTATATGTCCTGCGTCCTCCAAGGCCGTCCGAAATGCCGTGGCACCCGCATCTAAGATAAGCCTTGGAGAAACATCCGGTGCGGTCTCGGATATTTGCTTGACAATACTGTTCTCGAACATGGACTTCGCGACAGAGATAACAATCGCACCACCTAAGCTCTGAAAGAAAACTACGGCTGCAGATCCAATGGGAATATCAGCTTGTTCCAAGATTGTCTGAATAGCCGTCATGGGGATCTGAAATCCGGCGCCCACGCCAACCCCAGTTAGGATCTGATATCCGATCCACTTTCCGGTGGAGATGCCCGTCGTCTAGAGAGTGAGGAGTCCCGCACCGATGCACAAGAAGGCTGTGCTCCCGATAAGAAATGGAGTATAATGTCTTACCGCACTGTCACCGGCTCCAATGGCGACGGACGAGATGGACTGTGCTACCAATATCGGGAGAATGTCGATTCCAGAGTGCACTGCGAAAACATTCCGTACACCTTGAAAGTAGATTGGGAGGTAGTACATGAGGAGGTAGTATGCGCCGCCGCATCCGAATGAGAAACAGCTGAGAGAGATACTCGTACGCATTTCCATGATCCGTGGGGGCAGCGTTGCCTTTTCGCCTAGCTAGATCTGCGAACCCACGAAGCAGGTCAAGAGAAGGCCGAAGCCGATAAGTAGACCGATCATCTTCGAGCTACGCTAGGCATATGTCGTGCTACCCCATTGCAGAGCGAGTAACATATATATCAATGTGGGGAGAAGAAGGGTGATGCCGATCAGGTCTAAATCGAGAATTCGCTGGAGCAAAGATCGTCCGGTTGGGGCGGTCTTGGGTAGGTGCAAAATGAGAACGATAACCGCAACGGAAACGGCACCAAATGGGAGACTTTCAACCTTCGAGTAAGTCACGTATCTTGGTATATATCTAATGTTAGACACTTGGTACGCACTTGATGTAGAAGCACCAGCGCCAGCTGGGTCCGTCGGTAAATGCTCTGCCTAGCAATGGTCCGACGACCGATGCCAGACCCCAAACCAGACCGAACAGCCCGAAAATGGTCGGACGTTTCTTAAGAGGAACTACGTAAATGTCAGTGTAACATGTTATCCCATCATATGAGAGGGCTACACACCAGTCAGCGAGAGGATAACCAAGGCGCCCGAGAAGATGCCACCCACTCCCGTTCTAGCCACAGCCCTACCCCCGATCAGGGTGGCACTGTTGGGAGCAATTGCACAGATGAGGTAGCCCAACTCGAAGATAAAGATGGCCACGAGGAAAGACCACTTCACATCGAACAGCATGTACATCCGCCCGTACGCTGGCTGTAGAGCGGTGCCCGTCAGAAAGTAGACACTACCATACCAGCCAATATCACCGACGCTGTTGAACTGGTCAGTAATTTTGGGAATAGCTGTTCCAATAATCGTCTGATTAAGTGCTGTGAGGAAGATAGCCAGGAAGAGAGCGAATACAGTAATGGTTAATCGCAGTGGACTGGGATATTCGGTCGCGGTGGCGTTGTTCGGGACAGTCATTTGGTTGTCGGAGTTATGATAAGAATCGAAGGGTTGGCTAGCACCATCTCTGGCAGATATTTTATCCATCTTCCATGGAAGCAAATTAGTGCGCCTTGTTTTGTTTGTCTGAGACACATGATGAGAAGCATTAGTTGAGATATTTATACCAAACCCCACTCGCCGAGGAGGCTGAACTGATTGCTCGGATCAGACCTAAGGAGCTCACCAAGCCCCTGTCAGCATATTGTTTAACTCCGTTCCTGGCGGGACTTAAAGGAGTTTACCCCGGAAATTTCACAATGCATGAACCGGGGCCCACTCTTCCCAGTACCGGAATCCAATAGTTGAAGTAGGGTTCATGGACCTCTAAGCACATATATTGGTAGTATCAGTGCTACAAGTGGATTTAAACTGAGTATAGTATATACTAGTCATCACATGTCGGATCTCTCGCTAAAGAGTATCTGCAAATCTCCAAAACTCATTGTAAACCTATCTTTCGCCTTCCCCTCAAACGCCATCCCGTCCTCTCCATGGGCGTACTCAAAATCAAACATCGCGATTAGTCGTACTAGGGTGTTGCGGATAGTAAGCAGTGCCAGGGGCTTCCCAATACACCCATACGGGCCTAATGAGGCGTCTATCAGCATCGATCGCTTTTGGGGTGGGGGGGATGAGATCTATCTCGCCTAACCTATGGAAAAAGGAACAAAGGCGCTTTTGTTTTTCACCAACTCTGGCTGCAGGTACCAGCGCTCGGGAAGAAATTCCATCGGGCGCTCGTAGACTGCTTCACCTGTGGGTGACATGCAATTAACTCCATGCTCAATATAGGGATGTGGGCATGGACTTACTACGGCCTAGCACGTTCTGCGGACACATAACCGTCATGTTACCTGGGATGTGGACCCCGTCAACGATGATTCCTTCTGGCGGGGTCTTCCTTTGCAACGCAGTCGCGGCTGGCGGGTGGAGACGGAGAGTCTCGTTGATGATGGCGTTAAGATGTGGCAAGTTCGCTATCTTTTCATGTAAGACCTCATGCGACAGACCGGTTATGTACGGGGAAACTTCATCGCGAAGTCGCTGCACCTGCTCTGGATGCTCTACCAGTTGATACACTGCGGTGGAGAGGGTAGTAGCCGTTGTGTCACTGCTGAGTTGTCAGGTCTTTCAGTCACTCATGAGAGCTATCGTGCTTTCTCACCCGCCAGCCAGCACGACCAACTGCGCGTCCCCTCGTAATAGTTCCCATTGCTCCTGTGAGGGCTGTTGGCCCTTAAGTGGCGCCACTAGCACGGAAGCAATGTCAGGAATCTCAGCTGGCGTCTGCAGCTTGTCAACATGGGATAAGGCTCGGAAGCTAACTTCTTCAGAGAAGGCAAACCTTGATTCGCTCCAACATCCTCTGGCCACAAAAGTCAAACAACCGCTGCCAAGCCCGCGAAAGCCCCGGAATCGAGATAACGACTCGGAAGAACCATGTAGGAAAGGCAAAGCCGAGCGGTATCATCACTTTCTTGAGTGAGTCTATGGCCCAATGGTCCTGATGCGCCTCGAGCATACCGAACGACTTTCCAAAGGTGAGGTCGCCCATGAAGTCGTCGCTATATAGCTCAAACCATCTTATGACGTTGACAGGCTTATTAGCGACAGCCTGCGAGCTGAAGCATGCCATCAAATTATTGAGATAGGGGAGCAATCGCTGCTCGTAGCCGCGAACCGCCTTGTCCCCAAATGCCGCGCTCCAGACGCGGCGTCGTTCGTCATGGGCTTTTCTGTCACGTAGAGTCTGTAGCGACACCATGGGACAGCTAATGTCGTACCAGTCTGCTTTCATACACCGCGATCCTAGCCCATATATTACATTTACAGCCTTGGGGTGCGCGGTAGATACGTAGTTTGGTCGAAGACGAACAAAGGGACCGTACTGATCATGTAATCTCTGCACCTGCCTAAATCCATCGCTATGTCGGAAGATAACTGGGAGAAAAAGACTGGTAATCTTACAGCCGAAGGGGCCGGGAAAACAGTTGAGGGGGTGAAAAAACATGCGATAGATGAGAATGCTGGTGTAGTAACCGCTAAGAAAGCTGCCATGGATGCGAGCTGCTTGGGTGAGGGAAGAGTTAAAGTAAAGTCGATATCCATGCTGGAAGCAGACCACCATCCCTAGGAATGTTGCTGCAAGGACTTGGATGTAACGGACAATCCTGAGGTGGTGTTCTTCATGCTTGAAGAAGAGGTGGTAGGAGAGTGCCCCAGCTGCAAAAAGCATGAGGTGGGACCCCAGAATCATAGTGTCTGATCAAACGAGTTCGTAGTAACCAGCTGCTACGCTGGTACTTCTCACTGCGTTATTCCAATATTTATAGTGTCCGAAGGTTATGGGTGTCCGGGCGGTGTCTGATGATGTTGAAGCATTAATGACGTAGCTGCAGATGCTGGAATCTATATTGATATTGCTCCTACCTGCGCACCCAAGGTGGCCAAACCAAGGCACCTTCTCAAGCAGCCCCGCAAGTTATCTGCTTTGTGTTTGATGATCTGTACATTAAAGCCCTCTGTCTCTCTTTTCGATTACACGCATGATTCTACATGAAGACTGGGCGTTATTTGTAAGAACCTCCGGCATTGAAATATCTGAAATTCAGACTAAGAATGGTAAACTAGCTGTTGCATTTGTGCAATACGCTGCAAGAACGGAATTACATTTGGGCAGGACTATCGTTGTTGTTGTGCAACCAATATTTACTGTACTAAAACTCCCTGAAATCAAGAATTCTCCCGTGATAGAACGGGTGATCTTCAAGGGTGAGCAGAACAATCGGAATGAGCGGTAGACCTTTTTAGAGTTTTGTGGACATCGATAACATCATCACATGTTTCGTCGGCAATTATTCACCTCCTTATTAGGCTTCCTAATGTGATAAGTAGACACTATCCCACCGGATTGGTAGGTGAAATCAATGTGACAAGATAAATGATTGGCTGAAATCTGATATGTCTTTTGCCGTCAGTGACCCAGGCGCTGTACCCCGCCACGAACAGACCTTCGTCACTAACCACCAACTCACTATATTGCATTACTACTCCGTAGTACCACGTACATGATATTATGCGACAGGAAGTATTGCTTTTTGTGAGGAAAAGCTTCAACGCTTGGCAGATCTGACTTTCTCGCAAATCTTCTTTCTTCCCGGGGTATTATTCCAACCAACTCAGACCAGGAATGAATAACAACTCTACCTACATGTGAAGGTAGCCAACACTAGAGGCTACTTCGGCCATGCTGTGATACACGCGCCTTCCAAGCTTTTGGAAACCACAGCCTAGGGCAGGGCAATACTGGCTGAATGTGTCGTTTGTTGTCCGAAGAGGAAGAGAGTGTGGGTACGCAGAGATGTAGTATCTCGTGAGTATTTCTGCACCTGTTCGATAGAAAAAGTCACATTCTTAGATATCGTGCTTGATGGCTTTTCTTCCGCCCTTCCTTGTATGTAAATCCAGGTATCGGTGGCAAAGCTTGCATGGTCAGCAAACTGTTCGTCTGCCTATTCACATATAGCTAGATTAGACCAAACAAAACGCAGAGAGACCACTACATCAGTACATCAATACCTAGGGCTAAACATAGAACCAGAACTTGGTAGGACTCATACTATATCCTGCCTTCCATATCCACAAATATTGTTGAACAGTCAGATACATTCAAGCTATTTAAGAGAAAGGTGCAATCAGAGTTAAGAAAGGCCTCGCAATGAGAGGACCAGCACCCCGACGCTGAGTCACATTTCGCAATACCTCATATGCCATGTCACAGGTTACCGACAAAGGTTCATCAGGCCCGCCTGAACCCAATAGAACTCTGCGCGTAATGCCCTCACTAATCGTATGGACGTCGTGAGCGTTCTCCCATCCATAGATATGAGACAATGAAGTGAAGAGATTGCATAGCTCCTGGTGTGTTTCAAAATATGGCACTCCAATCTGCAACGTATCTAGGAAACCTTTGCCATTGAGTGTCTGAATAAGCAGTTGTGCAGCCTGCTCCCCAGTCAAACTGTCAAACGTCATGAGGCGTTTGAATCAACTTCGTAGCTCTGGGTTCAAGGCCAGTAATGTATCCATTTGCTGGCCATACCCAGCTAGAATGATGGATCTTCTGCTCAAACCGTGGATTAGACATAGCACCCACTATATCTGTCGCTGCCTCTTTCGAGAATCGATCGCGCTTAACCAGGCGATAAGCTTCGTCTATGAATAGGACCTTTCCCACAGCCCGGTCAAAAGTTTCAAGAATATTAGGCCCATTGTGGCCTAAATATTCTCCAGCGAGGTCGGTGGCCGAGCATTCGATCACCTCAGGGGTAGCGAGAAGATTTCGCCGTGCAATTGAAGTTTTACCGGTACCTGTATGGCATTATCACTTGACGTGGTCTTCAAGATGCAGAAGAAATACCTGGTGCTCCTCGGAAAACATAGTTGAACGGGATTAGATCTCTCAGGGCGAGATTCCGTATGCTAGCTTTTTTAGCGATTTGTGTATCCTCTAGTAGCCGTTCAATGATAGAGTCACATCCTATTACGCCGGAGAAGAGTTTTAGGCACTCTTCTTTCGCATTAACCACCCGGTTCCAGTCTTTCGAAAAGCCTTCTGCAGTTAAGAACGTTGGTTCCACACTGGGGTCGGCCAAATAGCGTCTCTGGCAAGATAATTGCGCAGTCGCCAGAATTTACTCAACGTGCCGAGCGTTGCCAAGCTTGGGGATACCATGGCGTGTCGTATCATCTCCATTGCCACACCTTTAGCCTCAGCGGAGCAACAAATTTGAGCTTCTTCCATCCGAACATCCATAACCTGCTCCGGTTGCGCTAACGAATATCCATCGAACCTAAATGCAGATTCCGGTCGAAATCGGTTCGACAGATCGGGATTAACGTGAAGAAGCATCTCCTTTAGTTCATCCTCATAACCAACGAGCAGAACACTCTGATTTGAGGCCCTATTTTCTGAG